ATATATATATATATATATATATATATATATATATATATATATATATATATATATATATAGTTTAGGAAACATTTCTAAAACCTAAAATTGTTTATTTAACATTCATTCATTTTCTTGTCGGCTTAGTCCCTTTATTAATCCGGGGTCGCCACAGCGGAATGAACCGCCAACTTATCCAGCAAGTTTTTACGCAGCGGATGCCCTTCCAGCCGCAACCCATCTCTGGGAGTTTATTTAACAATTACCAATAAATAATAGTATTGGAAGAGTTTTAATTAAAATGCTGCATCTGCAGTAGGATATTTTACCATCCCACTGATATTAAAACTTTTTTTCAAATGGTTTTTATGATTATGACAGCTGACATAACAAATGAAATACTTGGAGCTAGATGCACCAATGATTAGGTTTTGACGTCACTACACTGATTGATTAATAGAGACTTGTAAATGAGGTGTACTTGCATTGCCGAGCTCCTGGTGCGCCTATAAACTGCTCATTGTGTGGTTTTCTCTGGAGACTCTCGCTGAAGTCAGAGGAATCTTTGTGGTCAGGATATGATCTGGGCTGCGGATCTGCTTGCCTTCTGTCGTGGCCATACAAGCAGCATGAATGGAGGACGTCTGGACTCTGATCCAGTAATCTGAACTCCAAATTTACAACACGAGATCCAGAAACTACCCAAAACAGCAGCAGGGACAAACTATCCACTAGTTGTGACATTTTTAACTAGGACTGCCAATAAAATTTAATTTATAATATTATTATTATTATTATTATATAAACTGGCAGTTAAAATGCTGTATATAACAGTTCTATATTTATAAATACCACTATTATACTGATAATATCTATATTACACTAATATAAAAATTTACTAATAAGATTATACTAAAGACGCGACACGGTGGCTCAGTGGTAAGCACTGACACCTCACAGGAAGAAGGTCCCTGGTTCGAGTCTCAGCTGGGTCAGTTGGAGGCTATTATATAAATATTACTTATTGTTATACAGTGTCATAAAAAAATGCTGCTATATTGATGCACATATCGCACCTCCGGCTGGCTGCATATCCAATCTAGACTTCACCAACCAAAACAGCCAGATCCGTCCCCATGAAACATTTCTATTGTATTAGTTGGAGCTAAACTGTGCAGGACACAGGCCCTCCGGGACCGAGTTTGCCCACTTCTGCTTTAAAGTTTGTAATATTGAGATTGTTAAAAAAAAAACTGATTGACTTCACACTGCCTTTTTAGAGCTTAAACCTTTTGCACAAACCTTTTTGACTTGTTATTCAAAATATTGAAAGGCTATAATGAAGGTCACAATGCACTCTGGCCATATCTAGCGATGTCCTTTTCATGAAATATCCTGGACTGTGTTTGCTTTATATTTCTGTTTGATTTCCCAGTTGGAATCAAAGCCCTAAAAAATAAAAATTAAAAAGTCAAGAGCCAAGTTCACAGATTTTGGAAGCATAAGGATTGACTTCAGCGAGATCAAGCCAAGGCCTGAAAGAGAGTCATGGGAGCGATTCAGCAAACATATGGCCAAATCTCATCCCATTCAGTCCCACAATCCCCAGAGATTACATTCTTGGAACGACAGTAAATATATACAGGGAAAAGTTGTTGCTTTTTTGGTTCCTGTAATGGTTTTCTCCTTTAATTTGATCAGCGGTTTTGGTGCCAAGATCAACAGCAGGTGTAAGGCGGCAAATCTGGCATTCGTTAAAGTCAAAAATATTCGCCCTTTTGTGAATTTTATTTCAAATATTTCCCAAATGATGATTAACAGGGCAAGGAATTTCTCACAGTAATTCCTTCGGCTCATAATTCGAGTATCCGACAAGACAACAAACACAACATAAAGTTTTAATCCTCGTATGCATTGACTCGAACAGCCAAAAAGAGCTGGCCCGACCCTCGAGAGAACTTTTAGATCCATTAGAGAAGAATGCAGACGAGTTCCTGTGATATAAACCATGCGGCGAACAGTGCTCGCCATCCTTCCCTGCCACTCACCCACGCCATCCTTGAGCTCCCATTCATGGAGTCTCTGTAATGAGAGTGGAAATGTCAGCTATGATACACTCGCAGAGAAGAAGAGAAACAGGGCATCATACAAAGGGCTTTTTATGCGGCCTGCCTTGTGTTTGCTCCACACTTGTATTCTAGCCGCTTTGTGACTTGATTAGTGGATCCTTTCACACATTCTCAGATGTGAAAAAGAGCACAATTTGCTTGGGGGGATTATTTTTAGCAAAGCCCCGTCGGCCTGCATTGTTTTGTTGTGCGGTTGAAGTGGTTGTGTTCCCCTGAAATGCGACGGACTGGGCAGGGTGTTGGAACGGTGTCAAACTATTTAGGAAAACAAGACAAGCATGTGCCAAAACCTGTTCGTAAGAAGGCGTATACTCTGTGCGTACCGTGGTATAGTCATGCTACTCTAATGTGTTTCAAAGATTATGCAAAATAAGCTGCAGTCATCGTAGATGTAGTTTGAAAATGTTACTCTTTTTATTGGTGACTACAAATTCCAGCATAACTGATTGCTCCAATTGGGATTGGCGGTGTACACTCAGAAATAAAGGTGCAATTATCTGTCACTGGGGTATTACCTTTTCGAAAGACACACGTTTGTACGGTGTAGGTGGACATTAGTCCCAGCTAGCAAAATTCATGTGGCTCCAATTCGGCCCACACCAGACACTTACATCCGGCCCACATACCACACGGAATGATGGTATTTGGGCGGTCTGCTACTGTTTGCCAGATCTGGGCCACAATTAAGCCATAGCAATATCACATATCCGCCAGAATTCAACCAAATGAACCAGAACTGACCCTATTCTGGGCCACAGTTTGCTTTAATTCTGGCCCAGATCCGGCCCACACCAGACACTTACATCTGGACCACAAACTGAATGGAATGAATGCTCTAGGGTGGTCCGATCCTGTTTGTCAGATCTGGGCCACAAATATGCCAAAACAATACCACATATTAGCCAGAATTCAACTAAATGAACCAGAACTGACCCTATTCTGGGCCACAGTTTGCTTTAATTCTGGCCCAGATCCGGCCCACACCAGACACTTACATCTGGACCACAAACTGAATGGAATGAATGCTCTAGGGTGGTCCGATCCTGTTTGTCAGATCTGGGCCACAAATATGCCAAAACAATACCACATATTAGCCAGAATTCAACTAAATGAACCAGAACTGACCCTATTCTGGGCCACAGTTTGCTTTAATTCTGGCCCAGATCCGGCCCACACCAGACACTTACATCTGGACCACATACTGAATAATATGATGGCTATAGGGCGGTCTGCTCGTGTTTGTCAGATCTGGGCCACAAATATGCCAAAACAATACTACATATTAGCCAGAATTCCACCAAATGAACCAGAACTGACCCTATTCTGGGCCACAGTTTGCTTTAATTCTGGCCCAGATCCGGCCCACACCAGACACTTACATCTGGACCACAAACTTAATGAAATGATGGCTATAGGGCTGTCCGATCCTGTTTGTCAGATCTGGGCCACAAATATGCCAAAACAATACTACATATTAGCCAGAATTCAACCAAATGAACCGGAACTGACCCTATTCTGGGCCACAGTTTGCTTTTATTCTGGCCCAGATTTGGCCTATTACTTATAATAATGGATTAAACCTTGGTAAACATCAGTGAACTGTATTATTTCATAACAGGTTGTGCCTCGCTTCATTTTGTTTGCTGTAATGAACAAACTTTCAAGCAAAGTTCTTAAAAGTTATAGCAGCCCAAAAGATTTATATTATATAATATATATTATATTGAGAGGTTCAGGGCCCAACTAAAGCAAACACTTTTCTCCATGATGGTGACTTTAGTCTATGTGGTCCACATATTTTTT